TTTGAGATGGATATAAACTCGTTTTTAATATTAATATATAAAGAATTATCGCTCGTAAGTGATCCCGTAAATATTGCTTACTTTTGACGGTACTTATAGAAATAATGTGTCTCGAACAAAACAAATTATATAAGTAATGGTCTATAATAGTTTGGGAATGTGGGTTATGAACATGATTAGAGCAATAAAGAGTTATCTGAGTAACATTTAGTAATAAACGGGGTACACAAATATTTCTGACAGATGTAATAATAACTAAAATTACTGTCATACATAGTCGTACTATGAAATAATGTATATAATTTAGAAAAATAATTTCATTTAGGAAAAGTGTATGGATTATATTGAAGATATTGGTTTCTATTAAATTGGAGATATTGGTTTCCATTAAATTGGAGATATTGGTTTCCATTAAATTGGAGATATTGGTTTCCATTAAATTGGAGATATTGGTTTCCATTAAATTAGAGATATTGGTTTTCATTAAATTGGAGATATTGGTTTCCATTAAATTGGAGATAGGATGCTTTAAACTGCATTTATTTTCAGGTTGCCAAGGATTTGAAATGTCAAATTTATTACCGTCACCGGAAAAATTAGAGCTCGAGGGAGACAGCACGTCAGTAGGCTTGCGATGGCTTCCATTTCACGGAAAAGGTCTTTAAAGACTTATCTCGAATCAGCCGATATACAATGCCCAATAAAAAGAGAGCAACTTTGTTATTGTTAGGCGGAACCGGGCTTCAGGATATATTTAACAACTTGCCAGATACCAGTGCAGTGCAGGAGGGAGTAGATAATTTTGAATTAGCCCTAAAAAAGCTCGATAACTGTTTCCTCCCTAAACAAAATAAAATTTATGAGAGACATATTTTTCGTTCGATTAAACAAGAAGACGGTGAAAATTTCGAAAAGTTTCTTTTAAAATTGAGAGATCAAGCTAAAAAATAATAGAAAGATGTGCATCGGTAGAGCTCAGGAAAAAGATTTTAACAATGGGGGATGATGTGACATTAGACAAAGTAGTTAATAGAAGCAAAAATATTAGAGGCAGTAAATCATCAGCTAGAAAGCTATAAACGGAAAGAAAAGACCAGCGAGATAAATTCAGTCACAAGTAAGAGCAAGGATACTTTTAAATGGGGAAAAACTGAAATGAGGCCAGGAAATTTTAAGTGTGGAAGATGCGGAAAAGCAACGCACAATATTCAGTACCCAAGATGTCCAAGATGTCCAGCCAAAGAAAAAAAGTCACGGTTGTGGAAAAGTGGGACACTATCAAAGATGCTGTAAAACAAAGTTAAATAGATTTAAAAGGAAAATAGAACATTAGCAAGAAGAAGACAAAAGAAATAATAGAAATAAAAAGCCCCGCAAGGACACTTCAGTCAATACATTAGAAGACGATGATTCTCAGTATGTATTTAATGTAAATGACGATGCAACTATAAAGTGTGATATAGGTGGCGTCGAGTTTCAAATTCTAATCGATTCAGGGTGTAAATAAAATTTAATAACTGATAAAGCATGGGAATATTTAAAAATACATAAAGTTAGTTGTAAAAATCAAACTAAGAAACCAAATAAAATATTACTGGCCTTGGCAGTAGTATACGTTTAGATGTAAAAGGTTCGTTCGAAACCGAAATTAAAATGAATGGAAAAAGTGACCCCTGCTCTATTTATGTCATAAAAAACGGATCCAGGAATTTGTTAGGAAAGGATTCAGCGATACGATTAGGAGTTTTAAAAGTAGTCGTTAGTATTAACCACGTTGATCAGGAACTAAGCAAGCCGTTTCCAAAGTTTAAAGGTATTTTAGTGGAGATTCCGATAAATAAATCTATAAAACCGGTAATACAGCCCTATCGTAGAATACCTATTCCCATCGAGGAAAATATAAAAAGGAAGATAAAGGAGTTATTAGATGCCGATTTTATTGAAGAAGTAGATGAACCAGCTTTATGGGTATCGCCTATTGTACCAATATTAAAAGATAATGGAGATATACGTCTCTGCGTCGATATGAGGCGAGCTAATACAGCAATTCTCAGAGAAAATTACCCATTGTCTAGTATGGACCACTTGCTGCCGAAAATAAGAAAAGCAAAGTATTTTTCAAAACTAGATATAAAAATGCTTTCCATCAAGTTGAGCTGCATCCCAACTCCAGATATTTAACAACTTTTGTAACTTCTAGTGGACTTTACAGATATAAGAGACTTATGTTCGGAGTTTCATGTGCACCAGAACTGTTCCAAAAAATCTTAGAAAAAATGATAATCAAATATGAAGGTGTAATTAATTTCATTGACGATATTTTAATATGGGGCAGCAGTGGAGAAGAACATGATTTGCGACTATTACAAGTATTGGGTGTTTTAAATGAAAATAATGTCCTGCTCAATAAAGATAAATGCTTATATAAAGTGCAAAAGGTCAAATTTCTAGGACACGAATTAACACGAGAAGGGGTAACACCTCTGCCTAAATATATCAAAAGCATAACCGAATTTAGAGTACCAAACACAATTGACGAGTTACAAAGTTTTCTTGCATCAGTAAATTACATAAATAAATGGATTCCTAAACTAGCTAAAATTAATGAACCGTTAAGAGAATTACTTAGGATGAAATTAGGAAAAAAAGGTTAACATAGAAAAATACTGGACAGAGAAACAGGACCATGCGTTTAAGTGTCTCAAGGAGAAATTAACAAAAATAGAAACATTAGGATATCATGACATCAAAGACAAGACCCAAGTTATAGCGGATGCAAGCCCTGTAGGATTAGGAGCTGTTTTGGTACAAACTGATGAAATGGGCCCCAGAATCATTGGCTATGGAAATTGGACATTAACAGATTGTGAACGAAAATACAGCCAAACAGAGAAGGAAGCCCTTGCTCTTGTTTGGGCAATCGAGCATTTTAACACGTTTCTTTTTGGAAAAGAATTCGATTTAATTACTGACCATAAGCCATTGGAATTCCTATTTAGTCCGAAATCAAAGCCGTGTGCTCGCGTTGAAAGATCGGTTTTGAAATAACAGGCCTATAGATATAAGATAAAATATAAGCCAGGAAATACAAACATTGCAGATCCACTATCACGACTATGCAAAGAAACAAATGTACAACCTATATGGGATGACCATATATGTCAAATAGTACAATTAGCAAAACCGCATGCTATTTCTATGCGAGATATAATTTTACAATCTGGAAGTGACTTAGAAATAACAAACGTAAAAAATGGTTTCTATAAAAATCAGTGGGACGAATCAGTCAAGAATTTTTTTTTTAATTTTTGAAGATGAACTTTGTTTTTATGACAACATCCTCTTGATAGGAAATAAAATTGTAATTCCAAATAAAGTAAGAAAACAAGTATTAGTAGCATCCCACGAACGTCACCCTGGATCGTGTCTATGAAGGAACGTTCAAGAGCTAAAGTCTGGTGGCCAAAGATTGATAAAGATGTCGAAATGCTGGTCAAGAGTTGCAAAGGGTGCACTCTTGTGGGACTGCCAAATCTACCCGTACCCATGAAACGGCGGGAACTTCCAGCAGAACCGTGGGTTGATATCGCGATGGATTTATTGGGACCACTATCAACTAACGATTATCTTTTGGTAGTAATTGACTATTACAGCCGTTACAAAGAAATCAAGATAACTAAAACCATTAACAGTGCACAAATTATAAAATATCTAAAAGAGATATTTAGTCGCCTTGGTTACACAGTTTCGATTAGTGCGGATAAGAAATTAAAATTTTAAGAAAGAAGAATTTAAAAACTTCTGTGCTGAGTGTGATATTAAACTGTTAAGTTCAATACCGGATGGCCCCAGATGAATGGAGAAGTAGAGCGCCAAAATCGTGACATATTAAAACGACTTAAAATCAGTCAACTTGAAAAAAAAAAAGATTTGAAGGAGACACTATATGAATATCTGATGATGTATAACTCTACTCCACATTCAGTGACAGGGAAATCACCATCGAAACTTTTCTTTAATCGTCAAAATAGAGATAAAATACCTATGTTAAAAAATATGAATGGCAAAGAAGACTATTCAGAAATTAGGGATCGGGATAAACTACAAAAAGAAAAGGGTAAAGAATATGGAGACCGGAAGAGAAGAGCAAAAGATTCAGAATTTATAGAAAGAGATAAGGTTTATTTAAAAAACATGGAAAGAACAAACAAATTAACTGCCTATTTCAGCCCTACCCCGCAAAGATTACGGAGAAACTTTATACATTTAAAGAAAATAGAGGGAAGCTGGAACTCTATCCGTGACGAGACCACATCATGTTTGGAAGGTCTCGAAAGTGAAGATTATAACGACGCAAATTAAGTTTAATTACTTATTGATTTTGTATTGATTCGAGAAATAAGTTAATAAGTTAAAAATTACTTCGGTTTAAAACTGTATTTCATTTGATTAAAATTCATTCATAAGGAAGGGATGTAGTGTTTGTATCTATTTAATAGATTCAATACACTGTCTCATATACACAAGTAGTGGGGGTAGCACGTTACTCGGTGGTTGCACTGAGTTGCGGCGGGCAGTTGCGTTGTGGAGCGCACTGAGGTAAGACGTGTACCTAGGGAGACTTGATGTGATAGTGAGCCAGTGTTACGTATTATGAATATTATACTATATAAGTTCTACAATGATGATGACGTAAGATTTTTGATACTCCTCCCGCTCCCTTTGTCAGTAAAAGTAAGAATAAATTGAACCCCGCCCCTTAGTCTGCTTACGTATTACTTCAACGCCCCTTGAACCCCCCTAAAGCCGTTATGTATATAACACACAAAGGGTTTTAAAAAAAACTAGAATGTAATCAATTTAATAATATATGTTGTAAACATAAAAGTTTCTTAGTAAATAAAGTTTATGCAACTTTAAAGTTGATAGCAGCAAATCATAATACAATAAATTACATATAAAAAAAATTGTCCAACACGGTCTTCGCTCTCCTTCTTTAATCAGACATGATTTTCGCAATTACAAAGATTACGTACTAATGGCGTGCCTAGAAAAAAATTTGATCGTAAATCTTCCCAAAAGATTTCTGCATCAGGCAAAGGGCTGGTCTGAATTTCTTTTGTTACATACTTTTTCATTTTACTTGGAGCATCTTCGGCAATATCCGACCAGCTATCAGAACTGACGCGTTTTAAAGAAGAGCTATTTGATTTTTCAGAATTTTGTGGGTGCTGTAAAGTATTCATTGCCATTTCTTGCACCTCGTCTGACTCTAATCCTGTTCCGGTATCTCTTACCGGTACTGTTATTGATTCATCGGATTGAGTAATATTTTCCATAAGTGACATTTCTTTCTCCATTTCAATAACTGGAGTAAGGCTTTTTTCACTAGACACCACATCATATGGAGTGGAGCCTAGTGATTTTGAATCACATTTATCTCTTCTCAGAGTTTCAATTTCACTAGATTCATCAGTGTCCACCTCTACATTTGAACTGGTTAAGTCTTGATTATTTCTTGCTGTAAAAATAAAAAGATATATTTGTTAAAAACATTATACGTACTACGTTATTACTTGTTAGCTTGTAACTGAGGTAACTGAGTTCAGGCGGTTGTTTAATTGAATGCTTGATTCGTCTTTCATGAAAACATGCGTGTTTATAGGAAGGTTCCTGTTCTAAAATGAGAAAATTTCAGGTTTTTTGACTGAGGACTATAAAAGAGCATACAATCCACCTGATGGTAAATGGATGTTGTGGTCCATAGACATATCTACATCTATCATCGATTAAGAATCAAAATGTAGTGTATTGTCACCTGAGAACTAAGATAGAATGCCTCGTTTGCAGAAAAAAAAGACTCCGGTTCTTTACACTCACCATGCAAACACAGAAATACACAGTATTAAGCTACTATTTTGCAGTGGCATTCTGTGAGACCATGGCCCTTTCTCAGTCGAACCAACCTATTTTTTTATAGAATGAAGGTGACAAACGAGCACACAGTCCACCTAACAGTACGCAGATACGTTGTGATCCCTGAGCACCAAGATGGAATGCCTCGTTTCCAGTAGAATGGTTCTCCGGTACTCTACACTCACCATACGAAATACAGCAGCATTGAGCTGCTATATGGGATGGATATCATCTATACAGATGGGATTTACCAATGTTAGGGCGTTGGATAAATCTGCATACTGTTAGACACGCCATGACCTAGAGTAGTATTTTAATTATAATTTTAATTTTAAATGTAATTTTATTTAATGTTTTATATTTATTAATTTTAATTTTCTAATTTTCTAAAAATTATAATCTAAATACCTATACCATATAGGTATTTAGATTATAATTTTTTAACAAATATGGATAATTGGTCTGAAATAAATGAATTATTATTATTATTATGTGGCATCTATAAAGTTTTCTCATCTGGTTGGGAAATATAAATATATAATTGTAAATAATCATGGTAAACGTACATAAATATCAATAAAATAAAATAAATACATAAAAAATACATAAATATATAAAAACCCAACCAGATGGAAACCCTCGGCAGGGGAGACCAATCGGCCGAGGGTTAGGGGGAAAGGGAAAGAAACCGGCGGACGATGCGGGCGGTATCGAGGAGCACCGCCTTCTGCATTTGAGCTTGGAGCGGTCCGTCACGGAGTCCCAGTCGCCTCAGATGACCCGAGAGGCTGATTGGAATTAACCCATTCGCAGAGACGACTACAGGTATAATTTCGGCCGGCAGTCACCCCACATGTCGGTCACCTCGTGAGCCAGGTTCAGATATTTTGTCAGCTTATCTGTTTCGGCTTTCACGAGGTTCTCGTCATAAGGAATGGTAATGTCGACCAAAAATATCCTTGACTGTGCCCGGTCCATCAGCACAATATCAGGCTTATTCGCAAGAATAGTCCTGTCTGTGATGACGGCCCGGTCCCAGTAGAGCCTGGCGCGGTCATTTTCGAGCACGGCTTCCGGCAAGTACTTATAATACGGCAGTTTCCGATCCACGAGACCCTATTTCAGAGTGAGCTCCTGGTTTAGAATCCTGGCTACTAAGTTGTGCCTGTGCAAATACTCAGAGTTAGAAAGCGCCGAACAACCAGAGATGACATGCCTAAGTGACTCACCGGGATGGCGACAAGCTAAACAGACGTCGACGGTGCCATCCTTTAGGATGTATCTCCGATAATTGTTGGTCTTAATAACCTGGTCCTGTATCGCACAGACAAAACCCTCGGTTTCCCCAAAGAGGTCACTGAAACGTAGCCAGTGGAGGGAGGTGACTGTGTCTACGAAAGGCTCGTGTAGAGTCCTCTCTACACGAGCCTCGTCGTCTCCCGGTCGGAAATGCTCTGTACTGCCGGGTCCTGCCATTGCCCGTTGGCTAAGGATAGAGGGGTAAGTTCTTTATCACAAGAAATAACGTCCCTATAGTATGGATCATCCGCTCTCGTCAGAAAGTAATTACGGAGGCTGCACACTTCGCGATTATGCATGGTAAGCGCGCCTAAAAAGCCGCGCCCACTTTGCTTCCGCGGCAAGTACAGCCTCATTACTGACGATCTCGGATGATGCATCCTGTGGGACGTCATTATAGTGCGGACTTTTCTGTCCAGAGCGTTTAGTATGGTCTGAGTCCACCTGAGTATGCCAAAGGTATACATGAGAACAGGCATGATCCAACCGTTATATGCGTGCGTCTTATTCACACCGGACAAAAGGCTGTTAAGCACTTTGGTCAAGCGTGCATAAAACACATCGCAAACTGACTGTTTCATACTCGCCTCATCTACACCGATGTTCTGTGACATACCCAGGTAACGGCATGTTTCAGCCCCGGAAAGGGTCCTAATGTTGATGGGCATAGATAAATCTATGCCCTCAGAGTTAGCAACCCTTCCCCTTTCAACATGGAGGACCGCACACTTATCCGTCCCCAGCTCCATTCTAATAGAATTGCTAAAATCACAAGTGATGTTTAGCAATTCCATAAGATGAGAGCGACTGGAGGCGAATAACTTGAGATCATCCATATAGAAAAGGTGGGTTACTTTTGTACCTCCCTTCCGAAGCTGAAATCCCCTCCCGGAGCCCTCCAGTAAGGTACTGAGAGGGTTCAGAGAGAGGCAGAACCAGATTGGACTCAAACAATCGCCCTGGAAGATACCCCTTCTTACCTTTATGTGGTTCTCCGCAGCCGTCATCCTATTATTATTATTATTATTATATCCCCGGTCGACCCATTCGTGCTACAATCATAATATAGCTGCAACATGGCGCTACAACGTATACAAGGTTGACCGCGCGTATAAGTTTTTGTATTTAATTCATTTAGAACATGTAGTATTTCAGTTTTCATCAATATTATTTGTATATATGTTATGGAACAAGTGATCCCACCCGTTGCCCTAACGGTGTTAGTGACATTAGGTGCGTGTGTAGTGTTTGTGTGTGATAAGTCCAGGAGGTATCGGTGTATGAGTACTGAAAACTATCCCACCTCAATTTTTTTTATGCGATTCTATTCAGATTGGCCTACTAAGGATATAAATGTCTAACTATTCATTTAGTGAAATAGGAAAATAAAATTTCTAAAGACCAAAAACCCCTGGCAGATCCTCATTCTTTCATATTATTACAGCAAGTTGTACTTCCGCCGACAACAATGAAATAATTAGTCGTAATTTTAAGCTCTGATATTACAGGTGCTCTGTGTTCAAGGAAACCATAGCGTAATCTGCATTTAGAACATTTTATACGAGATCATGTAAGATCGGAGCATCACAGACTTTCTTGGCCTCTGCAAAATGAATTTTGATTACAAATTTGCCTGTAACTTTATTACTTATATAAACAACGTTATATAATTACAAACCGCGAGCCAAAGGTTCGCCGACAGCGCCATGATGTCACGCATTGATCGTAGCGTTACTAGAGATGCATGAGCGCGGGGGGTGGTCGGCGGAAGTGGGAGGTATGATTATCAGCAAATCATCCACACGCGGCTTATACTTTATTATCAGTCTTTCTAACATCACTGCTAAACAAAGACTTCCCAAAAAATGCGAAACTGGCATGCATTTCCCGGAAGACCTGCTCAATATCCACACTTAAAGTTGCGGGCTCATACTTGAGATAAAAATAATATATTAAAGTCCCTATAAATATTTATCATGAAACTAACCTTGAGTTTCTGCAAGTTTCTCAGAAATCTGCAATTCAGGCGAAGTTTCATATTCTTGTAAGCTTTTTTTTCGATATTGTCTATGTTTTATAATTAGGCTTCTATCTGTATGTGTAGGGCTAACTTGAGGTCCAGGACCTATATCTTCCAGCTTATAATGTGCTATTATAATATCGTGGGTGGGTTGATCAAGATTTTCTAGTTCTGCTAACTGATTTATTTTAAATAATGGTTTTAAAAATTCGAAATCCAAGTCTGAATATTCACTTACATCGAGATCAGAGCTAATAGCAGCCTCATTTAATACACTACTATTGCTTGAATTTGTTTTGGAGGTACTAACTTCAGTAGATTTACTTGAAAAATATTCATCTTTAGAAATATAATTCTCAAAATCAGCCTCAGTATCATCAAATTCAATGATTTTAGTACAAGAATCATCTTCGGAATTTGATTCATATTCAACATCATAGAATAATTTTCTATATAATTTTAACATTTTTTTTTCTAACAACTGATAGTATTCCTCCGGTTCATCATGACGGTTCTTTTCCCTTTCTATAATAAGATCTGGCAGGGGACTATATGGTCTGGACGAAGCCTCTGCTGAAGGTAATTTCAGTTCATCTGTTTCAGAAATAGGCGATAACCCTGTAAAATAAATTTTCTAAGATTAGCTACTAATGTAAATGATTACACATTTAAAAAAACTAATTTGATTTGCAATACTCGATGTTTTTATTCGTAATAGGTGTTTTACTGCGTGATGAACCGAACCAAGAATTGCGGATGAACAGAAGCCACTAACGTAGCCCAGCAGATCAGTAAGCTGAAATGGATTGCTATTTTAGCTACCGTTAGAACCGACAACCGACGGAGAAGGTTCTCGAGTGGCAACCTTGTATCAAGTAAGCGAAGTGTAGGGCAACCCCCACTAGATGGAGTGACAATCTGGTATGATATACAGCAATTCGATGGAGCCAGGTGCATAATGACAGTGTTTTGTAGCATTCTTTCGGGCTATGGCTATGTTCTGCAGTGGATTTGTCAACGGGTATAATGATGAAGATGATGTCTAAGTAGCATAGAAATATTGATTACTTTTTTAACAAAAGCTAAATAACGTCTTTGTCGCGTTGTCTTGTATTTAAGTAGAGATTCTAGATCGCCTGATAAGATTTTAATACTATGCAATTAAGTATAATTACATAATATTTAAACACATAATATTTTATTATTTATTTAAACTTTTATGACTTAATGCCTTAAGGCCTTCTCTCCCCAGTCAACCATTAGGCTAAGCAGAGATAAACATAATATGGGAGGTAGTAAGCTTGTAATACCAGTTACTAGACTCCACAGAATTAGTAATCCCTTTATGGTGCAATATATACGCTTTTACAACAAAATCCCAGAAAATGTACAAAATTTGCCAATAAACAAGTTTAAATGTTTTTTTAAAGAAAAATTGTACAAAAAGGGTTATTATAATATCAAAGAATACATAAATGAAAATAACCCCTGGGAATGAGGTGATCGCCACCATGCTGGTTCTATTAAAAATTATAAAAACAAAATTATTGTAAAGTGAAATATGTTTAAAAAAAAGTCCCACTGAGTTTCTTCCTGGTTGTTCCCAGAACAGAGGTATTTTCCGAACCAGTGGTAAATAAAAAAAAAACTACTTTCAATACGTACTCTTGAGAAAATCTATGTTGAAGAAAAATGATTTTATTCTATTCCATTCTACCTGTCTCAATCTGTGGGTGCCGTATGAGCTGACAAAGGAAAATGAATCAAGAGATGGGCAGCAGCACTCTCCCCATAACAATCAAAATACAAATACTGCGGTTGCCAAACCACCTGCTAAGCGTCGTAACAATGGCAAAAATCCATCCTATGAGTCAATCTGTGGGATAGGCCTATATTCAGATGTACTTTTTTAATGGGCTGTGACCCACGAATGAATCATGTGGATAAGAAATCAAAATTAAAAAAAAAAATTGCGGTTGCCAATGTGCCGACCAAGCAATATATGGAGGAGGTCTATATTCAGCAATGGACTTTTGATAGGCTGTATTAAAATAAAAATTAAGAGAATGTAATTAAGTTACTAAGGTTTTCACGTACTTGGCAAATCCTCGAAGAGGCTTCGGACTAAATATGATTTCCGGCGTTCCCATTCTTCACTCCGATTCCGCCACATATTTTTATTGTAATACGAAAGTAATAAATACTTTTTTTACTAGTAGAAGCTATAGCGGATGTGAGGGTATATAAAAATTTAAGTGCATTAGCACAATTTAGCCGTAGGAGGTATTTCTATTTATTGTATCATTTCATAAATTCAATTAGTCTATGACTTAGAATTATGGATTTTTATTAATCCGGTTCGCAATTATTTATATCAATGAACCTTAATAGGTAAGCTTCATCTGATATCTTTCAACAAAAATCTAGTCGAATGATGTGAAATTTCGCAATATTATGGTATAATTTCAAATATATCGTGAAAAGGTCATTATGATATCTACTTTAATTCAGCCGGTATATTTTTGCCAAATTATTCCTAGACTTATCATGGAATACTGGGTTTCACGGGGAATTCGTATAACAGTAAACATGCAACCAAGTAGCCAAGTAATTCTTATAAATATTTAATTTATTTGTGTTTTTGTCCATCAGTGTTGCCACGTCTAGACCGGTCCGAGTCGCCAAAAATTTCACGCCAAGTTTTTTGATAAGTAGCCTGAAATCGCCTACTGTAATGTCAGGTAGCATATAAAGGCTATTTTTAAAAGTAGACTTACCTTAATCAACCTTGTTTTGAAATTTAACAGGATAAAATTTAAAGCAGTTTCTTGTAAATGTGGAAGATAAGGTCACATTAAAAATGTATATTGTCTGTTTATTATTATTAATATGTTTGAAACGAAATGTTTTACTTACAACTAAAGAGATCAACGAAGTAGATGAACATAATTTATTTGTCATTCACCAATAAGAGAACCTCTTCTAAAATGCTTCCATAATCATCATCATCATTATACATTTTCTTAATTATGAGCTAGGAGGACAGTAACATGGGCGGAAGAATTAGATTAAACGTAAAGTCTCTCGTAGTTAGAATTAGTTATACATTATGGAAATTGTGCAGTTTAATCGTATTTTCTGTAGATGTGAAATTGTTGCAACAAGTTTTTCTGTGATATCCAAGAAAACTCGGTTACAACCAACAATCGAAAATGTAGAGTACAGGAAACGATAAGGGAATACCCGACGTGGCGGTGGCGCCGAGAGCAAACAATGCAAAATATATCTATTTGTCTTGGTTTCTATGACACTACCATTAAAGTATATTTTTGGGTATCTTTATATCTAGATCTCTTTGACATTTCTCTGTAACCAAAACATATGTTTCATTACACGCATTATAAATGAGACATATTTAAAGAGAGAGATTAATTTAGCATACGAGGTAGAGCCATGCTGCATCTATATTAGTAGTATAGCTGTAGCACTAATGGGTCAGCTCGGCTGGGAAAGGACCACGCTCTCATAGAACGCTGTTTCGTATAGTGAGTGTAGAGAACCGCAGACCCTTTTAACTGGAAACGAGGCATTCGATTTTAGTCCTCACGGGTGACAACGCATCTGCATTTTCCTTCGTAATTGAGGATAGATGTAGATGTCTATGGGCCACAGAAACCACTTAGCATCAGGAAGACTGTGTGCTCATTTGTCAATCTTATCCTATAAAAAGAAAAAAGAAAATAATAATCGCCCTCCGAGACACCCTTCGAGATAGTCTAAATGGCAAAAAATGGCCTAACTTGGCACTACTGTTGTCTATATGTTAAAGTAATTACATACATACGTATATGCATAGAGAGAACCTACGATCATACATAAATTTAGTCAGTATACTTGTCTAGCTTTTTCTAATTTAATATGTACTTAAGCCAAAAAGACACAAATATATTGAAAGATGTTGCGTGTAAATAGAAATGTCAAGTGGTCATCTTTGGTCTCTTTATACTATGCCAAGTATGAGGGTAAGTACACTCGTATCTTCTGATTGATTAGAAAAACGACATATCTATTGTACAGGTTATGGATCAATTTGTGAAGCGAGTTCGTGAAACTGGATCGTCGTTGAATAAAACAACCCGTGTACGTACTCTTCCAGTGCGCTCAACCGAAAACATCGCTGCTGTTGCTCAGAGTGTACGTAAACAACCATCAACAACAACTCTTCATCGTTCTCAAGAACTGAACAATTAACGCACTTCTTTGAGAAGATTTTTGGATAAAGATCTCGGTATAAATGCGTACGTTCAATTAATGCAAGTACTGAAACGGCATGGCCATGCGAGGCGTTTTTGGTTTGCTCAATGGGCAGAAGACCACCTGATCGAATATGAGGATTTTTACTAAATATCTTCTTTTCAGATGAAGCTCATTTCCACCTCCGAGGATAGGTCAACAAGCATTATTGTCGTATTTGGGATTTAGAAAATCCACACGTCATCGTTGAGAAACCAATACATTCACAACGAGTGATTGTCTGGTGCGGATTTCGGTCTGGCGGCATTATTGTGCCATTTTTCTTCGAAAATGTACAAGAAAATGCCGTTACAGTGAATGGCGCTCGGTACTGTGCTAAGCGATTCTTTGCTTCCCAAAATTAAAGATGATGACATAGACGACATTTAGTTTCAGCATCGTGCCACACAGCCAACGTAACAATTGATTTTTGCGCACTGTTTTCGAAAATCTATTTTTAATATGGAAAACTTATTCTATTCTATTCTTTTCTATTATTGTCAGTTCTATTCTGTTCAGCTATTCTACTCTGTTCTTTTCTATTCCGTTCCATTCTATTCTATTCTGCTCTATTACGTTCTATTCTATTCTGCACTATTCCGTTCTATTCTATTCTGTTTTAATATGTTCTATTCTATTCCTTTCTATTTTATTCTATCCTGTTCTGCTCTATTCGGTTCTATTGTGTTCTATTCCGTTCTATTCTACTCCATTCTACTCTATTCTATTCTGTTCTACTCTATTCTATTTTATACGTGGTAGAGCCATGCTGCAGCTATATTAGTATTATAGTTGTAGCACGAATGGGTCAGCTCGTCTGGGGAAGGACTACGCTCTTACAGAATACCAGCATAAAACTGCTGTGTATCCTATGGCGAGTGTAAAGAACCGGAGACCCTTTTTACTGGAAAAGAGGCATTCCATCTTAGTCCTCACGGGTGACCATTGTCTACATTTGCGTTTATCTGCATTTTGATTCGCAAACGAGGATAGATGTAGATGTTTATGGGCCACAGCAACTACTTACCATCGGGTGGACTGTGGAACATTCGTCAAAGTCAAATGTGTCGTGCAACATATATCTGTGTTACAAATTTATTTTTTAATAATAAAAGTTTGAAATAGCTACCAAAAGTAATACTGAAACAGTTTTTAAGCTACAACAGTTCTGTGTCGCTATAATCCTGCCAGTTTTGAAGATCTGGTGTTAACGCAGTAACTTTGAACGTTAAATTTACCAAATATACTTTTGTGTAATATTTTAAAGTGTGAGAGAAAAGGTAAACGTGTGATCAGTGATCCTAAATAAAAAACAAGCCTCAAAAGTTAATGAAGTGAACCTTTTTAAAATACAATAATTTATAAATAGTCACGGCTTTAACAGTTAATATTGAAAACTATTGTTTGTGTACTACCTACAGGCAGTTAATAACTTGTCGCTATACTTACTCTAAATAGATTGACTTTTTCGCAAACTGTACTAACATCGCCGTGGCGCAGATAGAATAGTGAGGCCCTAATTGCAGTGACGTGCGATCGATTCCCAACGCCGGCGAGTTTTTTTTTCATTTCTACAACTTTAAATTTAAGTAGTTAAATTGTAACAAAAATGGCGTCCGCTTTGAATTCTAATATTTGCGCCGAATGCAGAAATACTTTACCTAAAAAGGAATTTCTTAGTTGCTTTGTAAATCAAGAGGAATAATTGGAAGTGCCCGGAATGTTGCAGTAAATAACTTAAAACTGGTAACACTCACACACCTGTTAGGTCAGGTTTCACTAGCCAAACATGCAGCAAAGCTACTGACGAATGCTCTCCAGAGACATTCGTCACTTTACGTAAAAACATATCGAGTCACCAGCAGCAGCATCGATGAAAAGCAATGATGCTAGTAACTTCTTGACGGAGAACACTCTTCGTGACATTATTAAGCAAAAACTTTCTACAGCTATTCAAAACGTTGTTACGGCACAGCTTAGTACAATTAATGAATAAATAGCGTAATTTTGTGAATCTTTGGAAGTGTCCGAAATGTTGCAGTAAATAACTTAAAACTGGTAACACTCATACACCTGTTAGGTCAGGTGTCACTAGCCAAACATGCAGCAAAGCTACTGACGAATGCTCTCCAGAGACATTCGTCACTTTACGTAAAAACATATCGAGTCACCAGCAGCAGCATCGATGAAAAGCAATGATGCTAGTAACTTCTTGACGGAGAACACTCTTCGTGACATTATTAAGCAAAAACTTTCTACAGCTATTCAAAACGTTGTTACGGCACAGCTTAGTATAATTAATGAACAAATAGCGGAATTTTGTGAATCTATGTCGTTCATTAACGCGCAATTTGGAGAGATGAAATCTGCAATTGAAGAAAAGTCCGATATTATCAACAACTTAAAAAAAGAAAATACCCAACTTCAGGCATCTGTCAAGGACCTTACAACCCGGTTAAATATTGTCGAATCACATATGAGAGAATGCAACATTGAAGTAAATGGTATTCCCGAACACAAAGTGGAAATCTTGGTAAACACCGTCCTGCAGTTAGGACAAGCTGTTAAAATCCACTGTCAGTAGATGACATCCAATATTTTTTTTATAGGATAAGGGTGACAAACGAGCACACAGTCCACCTGATGGTAAGTGGTTGCTGCGGCCCATAGACATCTACATCTATCCTCTATTACAAATCAAAATGTAGATGCGTTGTCACCCGTGAGGACTAAGATGGAATGCCTCATTTCCAGTAAAAAGGGCCTCCGGTCACCTGCACTCACCAAGCGAAACGCAGAGGTGAACCTCTACTTCACGCTGGTTTTCTGTGAGGTCGTGGTACCATCCCGGTTCGAGCCGGCCCATCCGTGCGACAGCAAAAGCTGCCGCGTGACTCTACCACTGTTGTAACAATATGTTACCCGAGTAGCAAAGCTAAATAAAAATACTGACAAGCCTCGTTCTGTTATTGTTAAGCTTCGTACCATGAAGCATAAAGAGCATATTTATCCTCGCATATCATTCTAGCAGCTGTTGCACTATTTAATTAAAAAAATCTCGAAGATAAATTATACTCTCACCATCTGGGAATTGGAGGAATTCCAATATATGTCTCAGAGGATTTAATCCCAGGAAATAAATCCCTTCATGCCGCTGCGCGCAATACATCCAAAGAAATGAAATATCGCTTCATATGGAATAGGAATGGAAAAATTTACGTATGCAAAGACGAACTTAGTCAAGCAATAATAATTACAAATGAAAATAGTCTTAAGCTCATAATATAAAACAGTGGTAGAGCCAGGCGGCAGCTTTTGCTGTCGCACGGATGGGCCGGCTCGAACCGGGGTGGTACCACGACCTCGCAGAATACCAGCGTGAAGTAGAGGTTTACCTCTGCGTTTCGCTTGGTGAGTGCAGGTGGCCGGAGGCCCTTTTTACTGGAAATGAGGCATTCTATCCTAGTCCTCACGGGTGACAACGCATCTATATTTTGATTTGCAAACGAGGATAAATGTAGATGTCTATGGGCCACAGCAACCACTTACCATCAGGTGGACTGTGTGCTCGTTTGTCACCCTATCGTATAAAAAAAAATAAAATTAAGAAAAATGTTAAGAGAAATGTTATGGCTCCTGAATTTCTGCAGTTAGAAGTCTTTTATCATCAGAACGTGCGAGGTTTGAGAACTAAGACCTATGATGTGCTCAAGAATATCTTGATTTCGAATTATAAAATTATTGAATTTACTGAGACTTGGATTAAAGCCTAGTATTTTTGATAATATACTATTTGATTCCCGTTATGTTGTCTATAGAAAAGATCGTTTGTGTCTTGGTGCGTCCAAAAAGGATTTCACGTGAGATCTCGTCTTATCGTATTTTAAATTGGGAAACCGATGAAGAGAATATGTGGATAGTGTTAAAATTCAATAACTACCATATCACAAAAACTATTGGACTTTGTGTAGTGTATTTGCCTCCACCGGTTAAACTAGAAAATCTAAACAAGTTTTTAGATAGCGTGGATAATGTTACCAACCACGTTGATGATTTAGTTGTTATAGGTGACTTTAATATGGGTTTTATTGAGTGGTCTGCTAGTGATAAATATTCATATATGACCCCATGTAATTATAGTAATGCTCTAGGATACTCATTAGTTGACTTCATTACTATTAATAATTTATATCAATATAACTGTATAAATAACTGTGATGGTAAACTTTTGGACTTGGTGCTAAGTAATTTAACAAACATTATAGTTAGAAAGCCTCCTGAAATACTTAATAAACTGGATTCATACCATCCTAGTTTGTTAATAAGTATAGAATACGGTCATATTTCCTTCCTTCGTTCCAATAGTCGTATCGACTACAGATACTTTAAGGCTGATTATAAAACTATTGTTGAGAAAATTAAAAATATTGATTGGTTGCATAATTTTCTGTATGCAAAGATGTCGATGCAATAGTTGACGTATTTTATAATCGTCTCTTTAAAGTTATCGATTTATCAGTACCTAAACGTTAGACTATCTCAGCAAAACATCCTAACTGGTTCGAACGTAGCTTGGTTAAATTATTATCAGAGAAAGAAAAATTTCGCAATAAATATCACAAATACAATAACCCTAGAGATAATATAGAATTTAAAATACTTCGCAGTCGATGTCACAAACTCTTTGTTTCATGATTTAACAATTTTAAACACAATGCAGAGTCTGATATTTCAAAAAACCCAAAACACCTTTGGAAATACTTTAAACATAAAAAGAAAGGTGAGTCATCTCTACCCTCGTCCATGAAATTGGATAACCAAGTTGCAAAGTCTGGAACGGAAATTGGCAATCTTTTTGCTATCCATTTCTCATCCATTTACACCGAAACAACTAATATCGTGACCGTAAACTTTAAACAAAAAAGCAATGTTACACAATTGAGTAAGTTGAAGATTTCTGAAACAGATGTCCTAAAAATAATGAAAACTTTAGATACTGAAAAAGGTGCGGGTCCAGATAGTATCACTCTCATTTTTGTAAAACGTTGTGGCCCAAAAATTGCTTTTACATTGACACTTATTTTTAATAGTTCCCTAGAAGATGGTATGTTCCCTGAGGAATGGAAAGAAGCACGAATAGTTCCAGTCTTTAAAAAGGGTGATCGCATGGATATAAAAAATTACCGCCCTATATCAATTCTTTCTTGCTTTTCCAAACTATTTGAAAGTCTTGTATACCCAGCTTTTGCCAAGTACCTTGATCATTTTCTTACCAGCTCGCAGCATGGATTCAGAAGTGGATTGTCAGTACAAACTAATTTGTGTAATTTTACTTCTGATCTTATAAAAGAAGTAGATAGTGGTCTGGAGATCGACGTCATATACACGGACTTTAGCAGCGCATTCAACAAGGTTGATCACAAGACACTCATTAACAAACTATCTCTGTATGGTATTGCTCTTTCCTTGATTGGATGATTTAGATCTTATCTGTTTTTCAAATTGTTGTTGTCAATGGTTTCGAGTCTCAAATGTATCGAGCTCAATCCGATGTGCCTCAAGGTTCGCATCTGGGCCCTCTATTATTATTGGCTTTTATTAACGACATCACCACAGATATCAAAAATTGTCGTTGCTCGTTATTTGCTGATGATTAAAAATTTATAAACCAATAAAATCAGTAGAGGATGTAAAGCTCATACATGATGATCTGAATAGAATATCTCATTGGTGTGAAGGTCAATAGAATGCTAACAAATGCTTCCACGTAAAATATACCAGAAAAAAAACCACTTATCTCTAGTTACTCAGTTGGTAATGTAGTTTTGCAAGAGTTACCGTAGAATAAAGATTTAGGAGTAACTATTGACAGAAAGCTAACTTTTAAATCTCATATAAACATTATTGTTAATAAAGCCGCGAAGTTCTTAGGATTTATTAAACGCAATACAAAAGGGTTTTCTTCTAGGACTAAAATTATTTTATATAATGCTTTTGTAAGAAGTCACCTTGAATTCGCTAGTGTCATATGGAATCCATCTTTTAGTGTGCACTCCCAACGCGTTGAAAGTGTACAGCGTGCCTTCACTCAACATCTTGCCTTCCATGCCAGTGGTGTCTCACATAGGCAGCCTTACTATCAGCAACTGGCTAAGTTTAAGATAATGTCTCTCCGAAATAGATGAGTTATTCTAGATCTGTGTTTTCTACATAAAATAGTACACAATAAAGTTAAGTGTAGTGACCTTCTTGATCGCATATTGTTAGCTGTTCCGCGTAAATATACCCGTTGTCGCATCTTAAAACCATTTTATATTCCTTTCGCGAAAACTAATCTCGGGAATCATGCTCCTATTGTTCGTATATGTGGCAAATATAACGAAATAACTAAAACCATACTTAGCATCGTGTTACGGCCCCCAGCTGCCCCTGCAAAGGTCGCCTTGGCTGGGGCCCATAGTAGCCTCCGCGACGGGCAGCCGAGGTTTCGGGCCCAAATGGCCATATAGATAATTGACCTATCATACTACACAATAGGGAGAAGGCTAGGTAAATAAATAGTACGTACCTGGATCCGAAGCTAAGACCACACCAAGGCTCGGTCAGGCCGTAGGTAGGTGTATAGTGCATGTAAAGTGGTGTGTTGGTAGTGTTTATTTATGTGACCTGGCCCAGCTGATGTGACCGGGCAGCGGCCTGGTCCCATGCTACCCCACAATGCTGCATCACTCCAGCAGGCGTCACCAAGGGACAACTTCTTTCTTCATGTCACTATTTCAGTCTATCAACCTTATTGTACATTTAACTAACTTCAACTCAACTAATTCAACGTTCATCGTAAAATCAAACACGTGATACCCGACACAAGTAACGAACAGTAGTTCAAAGTTCAATATTCAAGGTTCCGGATTCATTTATCACAAAATTACAAATAGGGAACTAACGCGATTTCTTCACGAGTCACAAAGTTCAGCGTTACAAACAACAACTAAATTCCTTCGTTCGATATTAAATACTACGTCGCGATAAGAATTCAAAATCAACCTAGCTGACACGCAAACGAACTACAGAGTCAACACACAAAAGGCTCTTAACGCGACGGTACAATTAAACAATAACTTCCCCAAAACAATCAACCGGTAGTCGGCGCGCGCACAAGATTCCTCGTCACAGAAGCAAGTTAAATATTGCAAAATGTACTTCAACACGCAATCACTATATAATATGCGCAATTACTTTCAAACGAAATTACTTTAATCAGTCAAATTCCATACAAGCCTCTTGTCACGACCGTACAACTCAGACAAACTACAACCGAGGCGGTCTTCACGACATAACAATTCAGCAGCGAAATAACGCGCACAAATACTAAATCTAGATCATAAACCAAAAAACTGGTCGCTTGGAATATATGCAGCGGTCTCCAAAGTACGCGAATTGCCCGCACCGCTGCTCTCCAACTACTGTTCCTTGCCCACGAGCGCCAAACGCCGGGAGGCCGCATAGCGTTGCCCTCTCCCCGCGATGCGCGTGTCACCTCACACATCGAGCGATTCGCTAAGTCAAGGCTATTGGCTGGCGTATCAAATGCCTATATTTGGGCCTAAATACATCGATATATTTCACGACTTTTTTAAGACCTTCAAAATTAAACTTACTAGGCATTTATCGCCTAGTTCCTGTTAAAACTTATATTTTGAATAGAATCTATTTTATACTTAAATTAAAAATGTACATACTTCTAAAGAGGGTACAATATCTACCATTTTCGTTCCCAATAATTGAACCTGATTTTTTTTCATTTGATTTTTTTACCTATTTAGTCACATAATTTACTTAAATTATTTCCATTTTATTGCATTGATTGTATGTTTTTCCCACCTCAAATTAATCCTAAATTAAGTTGCACGACTCAATCTGTAAATGTTATGTACACTTGTAATTGATATGCATATCAGAAAATATAAAAGTGTGTAAGTTTTTGTGACAAAGTCATATATGTATATTGTAAGCGTACTTGTTAAATAAATAAATAAATAGACTGTGTGCTCGTTTGTCACCCCAAACTATTAAAAATCTACTCTACTCTACTCTACTCTACCCTACTCTATGCTACTCTATTCTACTCTATTCTTCTCTGTTCTACTGTATTCTACTCTATTCTACTCTTTCTATTCTATTCTACTATTTTATACTCTATTCTGTTCTATTCCATTCTGTTATATACTGTTCTGTTCTGTACAATTATATTCTGTTCTATTCTGTTCCATTCTATTCTATTCTACCATCCAGAGACGATTGACAACTTGAAACATGAAATCGAGTTGCCATTGACAAAATAGAGGCCCAAACAATCAAAAATGTACTGAAAAATAGGACTGATCGAATGGATAGGATATGAATAGGATATGGAAAACATTACATATTTGGTTTTGTCGGAATTTAAAGTGAGACTATTTAGAGCAAGCCAGTAGCAGACTATATTGAAACCATCCTGTGCAATTTTGAAAACTTCTTCCCAAGAGTCACCGTAAAACGAGAGGGTTGTGTCGTCAGCATATGAGATTATTTTACAATTTGGGATGTTTCATTGACAAAGATCGTTTATGTAGCAAAGGAAGAGTTGGACCGAGAATACACCCTTGTGGTACTCCGTAGTTGATTGGTCTTTCATCATTAATAATCTCTCCTATCCTAACTCGTTGTGAGCGTTACAATAAAGATATTAATTAATTTGCATCCATCCGCTAACTAAATAAAAATGGTGTGTCTTACCTGGATTGAAGAGCGTCTCCCACCCTCCCTCAAATGTTTCATTATTGTTCTATTCTCGTAGCGAGTGCACATTGATTACAACACTCGTCAAATATCATCTATATTGGTGAGTTTATTTTTTTTACTATTTAGAAATTCAGCCGTTTTCATACTTGTTTTTGTTAATTGCAGATCATGGTCAACACTGAGGAACACAATGATTCTAATCCTATCACTAATCCGTATTACTATGCACCATTATCCATGAAGTCTGCTGGCTGCTGGCCCCTTGGGTTCCGTTGCCGTATTCCAAATTTGCCTACTTTCAGCTCACCATTCTCTCTTGTGTCTAGTTTTGCATTGAAGTCTCCCATTAACACTGTATATTGGGTTTTGGAGGAATGCATGGCTCTAGAGATATCCTCATACATTTCCTCCACCTCCTCATCGGGGTGTGCCGAGGTTGGTGCGTAAACCTGTATGACCTTCAGCGAATACCGTTTGGTGATTCTGAGTATAAGGTACGCAACCCTCGTCGACACACTCTCAATCTTTACAACGTTGTTAACGAGAGACTTGTGGACGATAAATCCGACACCTCCTTGGGACAGATGGTTGCCCTCCCGGTAATAGAACAAGTTGCCGGATTCGAGGATTACCGTTTCCTCACCCTCTCTTCGGTCGTCGGATAATCCTATAATATGCCAGCGTAACTCGTCT